AAATAAACGAGTAGGTGTGATGATCCCCATTCCCGCTAAACCCGACAAAAATGGCACACCTACAGATTAGTTGAATATAAACAAGTCAAAAGTTGTGATATGGAAGAAGTGAAATACGAAGATAGAGAGTAAATAAATATGAGATGTATTCGCCCTATTTCGTCTAAGGTGATGAAGGACTGGTAGTAGAATTTTCCCACAATGTTATGAGATAAGCTGACGTTTCCATAGAATTTCACATAGCCTTGCTTTCCCAAAAATTGTTCTCATCCAGGGTGGACTGCAGTTTCGACCTCGCATCACTCTAATCAACCAGTCCTTCATCACCTTAGACGAAAAAGGGTGAATACATCTCATATTACTGAGGGTGTTGATAAGACCGATGCGAGGTCGAAACTGCAGTCCATCCTGGATGAGAAAAATTTTTGGGAAAATTCTACTACCAGTCCTTGATTACCTTAGACGGTGAATATATCTCATTCTACTGATTTACTGGTAGTCTCGAAACTCTATCTAATACGAAAAAAAGTAACGCTGTCGATTGCTATAGCAAATATACGTTTGCTTTATCGGCACGCCCACCAAAGCATATGATATAGCAAAGAGGCCTGATCTTCCTTGAAATTCACTTATGCCCTGTGACTCAAGGGTACTCGTGGCAGTGTAGCCGAATGGTTAGCGCGTCAAGCTCCAATCCTGCACTGTCGCGGTTCGACTCCCGCTGAGGACGTTGATAAGACCGATGAGTGGTCGAAACTGCAGTCTACCCTGGATGAAAACAACTTTTGGGAAAGCAAGGTTATGTAAAATTCAATGGAAACGTCAGCTCAACTCATATCATTGTGGAAAAATTCTACTACCAGTCCTCCATCACCTTAGACGAAATAGGGTGAATACATGTCATATTACTGATTTACTGGTAGTCTCGAAACTCTACTCTAATAAATAAATATATATACCAGTACTGAAGGAGTGACAGCTCAATCGTACTGCAGAAATTTGGACAAGAGATTGACTTCCTTTGCCTCTGACGAAGTTTAGCTTGGTGCTAAGAGTGGCAGAACTAACTGACGATGCCGGAGAAGCGTCTGGGAATGTATCATGTCAACGGTTCAACGCTAGAAATTCTCAAAACCTACTATAGCAGAGGACTCCAGACAAGGTGTCCAACTAATTCGCCTTAACAATACGACCAACACTCCTTTTATACAGCCAAAAGAGACTAGGACCAAAATAGAGGTCACAGCATCTTGTTCTTCATATCTATGATTTTGTTAATTCTCATCTATTGCACACTCATATTGCACCTAGTCTATTTGGCAGTGAAAACCTATTTTCAGGTTTTCTATTAGATTGTAAAGGAAGAGAAGACTATTGATAATGCAAGAACCATTTTCCTTTCGTTTTGATATGATTTACCATGAGCTTAAGGAAAATGACCTTTAGTCTGACAGGAATTCGTCATCAGTCTCAATCCCTGGCACCAATTATGTAATAGGCGCTTTGAGAGGAAGAAAACGTTTGGTCCCAACCTCGCAAGCACAAGTAATTTGAATAAGGCAGCCTTATAAGACATAAATGATTTTTATCGAAGCGGTTAACATCTTGAGTCACTATGGTGATGAAAAGTCCGATTACTAAGCTCTCATAATGAAATGTGCTAACAAATTTCACTTAGGCTTAACTACCAAAAGACTTTTCCATCGACGGAGGACTGCGGGTTAGATCTGATTCATCCCCAAAGAGATTCGGAAGCGGGTAGTGTGTTTCTAGAGGAAACATTAAAGCATTCGGCCCAAGAGCATTAATAAAAGTGAGCCACAAGGCAAATGTGACTAGCTGAACGCGACCACAAAGCTGTGGGATGTACACTTAAAAATCTGAATCCGCTTGTAATGAGAACAATTGCGGACAGAGAATGAATTTTTCGTAGAAAAAGTGTCTAAAAGAGCAGGAATTAAAGGGCGAATGCAAAAAGTGGTGAGAAGCAGAGAAACTCGAAATGTGTAAAGCAAAGAGGTCATATAAGCTGTGGCGAGTTGCATGAACGGCATCATGTATGAAACGTTTCGGTTTCTTTGAGTGGAAGCTTAAATGATCCTGTCGTTGATTACCTTAATTAAGAGTTGTATTTAGACAACCAGTAAATTTCTCAACTGGCGTCAGTTTGATCTAAACTGAGCTCGTGACGCCAAAGCATTAGTGTAAGCCTCATGCATTTAAAATCCCACCAGACGCGTTAACGCAATGGATGCTCTCTAAATACTAGTTATTCCAAGATGACTAGTCTAATTATTTTAAACATCCAAACGAACATCTCCGATCGACATCGTATCATCTTAGATTGATTAATGAACACTTGTCTAGGCTTAGCCTATTGCAAAATATTAGCTTCGGCACACAATACGGGCATCCATAGGGGATTTTATGAGGAAAGCGGCTGCCCTAGCAAAGCTTCAAATAACATCAATGAACTTAAGCGACCAGCTCCTCCATCTCGGACAAAATACTCAAATAGAGCATCTGGTTTGCACAACGATGTTATGAAGCCGAACTAGCGCTCTTATTATAATCAAAGGATATACACGCATTTAAGCCACCTCTCCTGAGGTTCAAATGAATTTGCATAACCAAAGTGGCATCCTCTCACCACATCTTCAAATTTTTTTCTTTGGCAGTTGTTGTCAATGTGCTTACAGAAACATAAAGCATAAACTCTAGAGCATTTGCAAGTCTATACTCACATTAAATACCGTCAAAACGAAATATGCAGATCATGCACACCAGAATAATGAATCAGAAAGCGCATACTCTAGAGGTCGACAATGAATATGAATGATTCATAGATTTGCTTTCCTGATGTTCTGTTAGTATACAAGATACTTGTGTATAAACTATGAAGTTTCTAAACAAATAATGGTTTGTAAGTAGATTACTAAGAAATCCTAATTCGTCATTAGGTCATGTAATATTGATTATCTAAATAAGTATGATGGAAGACCTCTTAGCTCACCATGATGAAGGACGAAGGAGAGGTAATACCCGAGCCTGCAGAAGAAGCAATGCCTCCCTGAGCGACAGAATTTATGGCGGGGCCACCTTCGTCAGTTACACCGATTGAACTGTTGCCACCACCTCCACTTCCAGATGTAAGAAGAGAAGGGTGCACACTCGATGTGTAGGGTGGGGGGTAAAGAGAAGTATTGGCATGTTCTCGAGTCACCTCATAATCCTCGAGGCGCTGCGTTAATGCTAACTTCTGCTGGATTGCCAGACGGAGCAAATTATTCAATGTTCGTTTCTCCTCTTCTGCAACCTGAATTCAGAGAAAAAGTATGAGAAGTTATATTCTAGTAGATTGGAATAAGGGGCAAAAGGCCCAAAAATCTAGGTCAATGAAAGGAAGTTTAAAGAAGCTACAAGTAATGCCTAGACTGATTTTTTAAACAACCTTTGCTTCTCAGGTGTTGAAGTTATCTAATTCAGAGGTTCCAAAATTAAAGGACATTCTCATGGGAATGTATGGATGCGGCAGACATAGCATGATCAGTAAACAATTAGTTGGGACGATTCCATCTTATTAAGATGGACAATTATGCAATTTTAGTGGTGCGTTTACTTGATTCAAAAACAGACGGTCCATTAAAACTTAATGACCTGGTACAGATAAGATGCTTTATTCTAATTGTGTATAGTTATCGTTAGTAATGTCTTAGTGATAGGCAGTAACATACAGAAACACGCCCTATCGCAGGTATGCAAATACAAGCACAAACAAATGTACGCGCACATAGTCATGGATCAAGGAGCTGGTGTTAACCTAAGGAAAAAAAATAACAGGGAAGAAGACGGTGAGGAAAATTTTGATATCAAGCAAATACAGTCTCAGTGAGCGTCGTTTTCTCAAAAAAACAGCTAAAATTTTGGGGGCCTGGCGGTCACAGGACTAAGGAGACAGATAATAACAATCAGCACATAAATTCGGCATTATGGTCAAATTGACTGAAATCTACTGGAGATATAGCAGGAGACCAGAGATAGACTGTCCCAGTTTGCTCAGAGTACATGAATTGAATCAAGGAGATGAGCCGTGGAGACTACGCTTGATAACTGGAAGCATGGAAATCAGAGCCTACGTGTTCTGCTAGGTGAGGCGACAGTTTACGTGTTGATGAAGGCTTGACAAATAGCGCCGTAAACTGTGGCTGGAAATGAGTGAAATCAGTCAAATAAAAAGATAAGAAAAGAGTATACGGACCCTTAAAGGAAGTCCGAGTTGAATCGGCAAATGAACGATGAGGGTCAAGGTAAATAGCAGATTTGATGACGCCACACTAAACTCACCAAAAAGAGCACGCCAATAGAGGAATAGAATATAAACAAGTCAGAAGTTGTGATAGGATGGGAGTGGGATAAGAGGATAGAGAATAGGTAGGTGTGCAAGGATAGAAAGAGTGATAGCACAACCGTTCGAAAGAAGGTTGGTCAAGGGATTGACTTCACCTGTCCCTTTGATAAGTTGTAGTTTGCTTCTGAGAATGGCAGGACTCACTAAAGATGCCGACTACGATTCCGTCGAAACGTCTTAAAATTTACCTAGTCCACGGTCTAAAACTGAGAATTCTGATAACTAGTAAAGCAGAAAATTTCGGACAAAATCACCAAGTGGCGAAATTATATCAGACTATTTCTTTAATTCCAAAATTCAACTTTATTGGACTATGTATAACACGTATGGATGGCCCAATTGGTTTGATTGATGTGGGGTCAGCTTGAAGTTGTTATAGAGATGAGTTCCAGTGGCATGACAAATAAAAGGTAAGCATATTTTCATGGAAGCCCAAAAGGATGTCTGGAGGACTGAATCAATCCAAACATCCCTGTAAAAATAAATAGTAGATGAAGAAGAATCTGTCATCGACTTATAGTGAGATTGACTTCTTTATCACAAATTGTTATCAATAAGATATTAATTCATTGAAAGCCAATTAACCCTTTTTCATTTGCCCATTTAAATTATCCTACTCAGCCATCAGCCCAGCGTAAACTTTAGTGAGGGCCGACCTTCACGTCTTCAGCTTAACATGTTATTCGTGCTTTGTTAATATAAGTTAAGCCCGAGCTGTTTGTTGTCCTTATTAAAACGCCCTGATACTGCTGAGAGATACTACTGAGTGAGATAGAAACGTTACCAACGCTTAATATTTTTTACGCCGCCACGCCTGATTCATTGTATAAGTCGAAGAGCCAAAGGTGTATTCCTTAAACCTCGCCTAAGAGCCTCTCACTAT